GCTCTGGTCGAACAGAGGAGCACCTTCAGCCAGAGACTGATTGCTCCTAAATGCACCACTGAGCGCCACAGGAAGTCATTCTTACCTGTGGCCATTAAACTGTACAACTCCTCCCTCTGATGATCGGACTCATTTGGCTATTTATAAAACAAAACACACAATATAATTACTCATTCTTATTTCATTTATAACGCTACAACCTTTTCATTGTATATTGTATATATTTCAGATTGTCTACTTTACTATTTTATTATTTATTTTATTTTATTGTCTACTTTAATATTTTATTTTATTTTATTTTATTTTAATGTCTACTTTAATATTTTATTTTATTTATTTCATTGTCTATTTTAGTATCTTATTTATATCTTCATCTTTATCTCTTGTTTCCATTCATGCTGTATTTCTATTTCTACTTTGCACGGAGCATTGGAACAAAAAACAATTTCCCCCCAGGGATTAATAAAGTATTCTGAATCTGAATCTGAATCTGAATAGGAAGAGACTGGACAAGCTGATCAAGAAGGCCAGCTCTGTCCTGGGATGCTCTCTAGACTCTGTGCAGGTGGTGGGAGAAAGGAGGATGGCAGCCAAGCTGTCATCTCTGAGGACTAATGACTCCCATCCTCTGCAGGAGGAGATAAAAGCTCTGGAGAGCTCCTTCAGTGATAGACTGATTCACCCAAAGTGTGTGAAGGAACGCTATCGCAGGTCCTTCCTGCCTGCTGCTGTCAGGCTACATAACCAGCACTGCTCACAGTAGACTGCACCATGGACACTTTATTGACACTATGGACACTTTATGGACACCACAGCAGTCTGCTGTTTTTGCACATACAATCACTTGCACCTTATCCACTGGTCATTTTCATTCACTGCTGTTCTTTATTATCCACTTCCTATTATTTTTATTTTTTTTTTTTTTATTATTTTTATTTATCGCCGTCTCTTGTATTTTTGTACTTATTTGCATGCCTAGATATTTAAGTTTTTAAGTTTAAATTTGAAACCTTTAATCTGACTCTTTCCTCTTGACTGCTGTAACACTGGAATTTCTCAATTATGGGATCAATAAAGATGTATCTTATCTTATCTTAGCTACGGTAGGTGGTTAACTTATATTACATGATAATGATAATCACTTGCATGCTTATAGTCAGTGGAATCATGTGTTTGCTTACAGGTTGCAGCTTGGTACAATGTGCTTATGCAAGAAGGCACAATGGAAATGCACAGAGCTTTGCAGTTGCAAATGTGATAGATAATTGGATTATACTGTACATGCAAAAAAACGTTTTATAGTGTTTAAAAGGGAAGCTAATAAAGTTCAATTGAATTCAAATCATTCATGTCATCCATTCCAGCCGCTTTTGTTGAAAATCATGTGAATACATTCCCAGAATTAATATTTTTATTTGATCTTGGCATGAACAATCATCTAGTGATATTCCTAATAGCTTTAATGCATTCCTTGACCCAGAAAATGTATATTTTGTCACCAAAATTGACCTTCTAAGTAGCTTGGAAGATGAGATATTGGCACTTACAGATTTTACAAGGCGGCCGCCGCCTTCCGCCATTGTGATGAAGCGGCTCCCCTTCTAAATTGAGAGCTATGGTGATGGAGAACACATAAAAAAAATTTGGTGCTTTTGTCCGGCCCGTCCCCATTCTTTTCACATGTGTCTTTAAGCCACCTGACTATTTTGTTTCACTGCAAGGTTGCTGTTCCAGAAATGATTTCATAACCACAGAATCAATATATTTTTAATCACATACTTGCTATTGAGCTCAGTGTTGATATTTAGTAATGAAAGTGCATACATGTAAGGATACATGTAAAAAATAAAGCTTAACTGTCCAACTTCACCTCTTGTCCCACTTTACCAGTATTCATCCTAGCTGTAGGCAAACATTCCTTGAATTAAGAAACTTTGTAAGAGAAAAGAAAATTATTTCATTTATATATTGAAAATGTCTCTATTTGATCTTTAATTTTCAATTGGTCTGACACTACTCCTTGTGGACAGTGTTTTGTTTTGTGAAGTGTGTAGGGATTTTTATAAGCTAGTGTTGACAGGGGCATTGCACCAAATTCTGGGCCCTATGATAACAGTCTGGGCTCCCCACCTTCCCTCTTCTTGATTCATGTCTCTTACCTTTTGATTTCTTTCCCTTTCCTATCTTTCTTTTCTTTTTTGGGACCCAGATTTCTCTGACCCAGGGAAAGACATAGGCAGTCACTCACTCAGCACCGGCTGTGTTTAGGGATGGGTCCTAGTGCATGGGTGGACTAAACCATTTTGTGCCCTTATAGGGTGAGAGAAACCATTTAGAGAGCTTCCACTATTTTTAGTGGAAACTCATTTTAATTAGTTTTTTGGCCAATTTTAATGTAGTTATGGGACTGAAATTTGCAAACAAAACTGAAATTTTCATTCTAGGCTTTTTGAGCCCCCCACCTGTCCATTGGGGCCCTGAGTAATCAGTTCCACTTGTC